AGGCAGGCCGTCAGTGCCCCAAGGAGAGACAAGTAAGATGATGTGCAGGAAGCAAAGCCTAGCTTCCGCCACTTACTCACAAAACCCATTGTCCAGCTGCGGTTGGGGCTATTTTTTACAGATGGGAGAGATCTTTTGAGGAATAGGCTCCATCTCTTCCAGTCTCCCCACCTACACCCCATGCTGTGCATGCATACCCATCATGAAGCCGGACTGTGCAAAGACATGCATGCAGCATGCGCTGTCGTGGTTTGGCCTCAGCTGCCAACAAAGAACCACCTGGCCACTTGTGGGAAGGACCCACGCTGGGGCAGTTAGTGCAGGACTGTGTCCCATGGGAGGGGACCCCATGCTGGAGCTGGGAACAACCTGAGGAGGCAGGAGTGGCAGAGACCAAGTGTTATGAGTTGACCCCAACCCACATTCCCCAGCCCACTGTGCTGCTCAGGGGAGCAGGTAGAAGAGTCAGGAGTGAAGTTGAGCCTGGGAAGAAGGGAGGGGTGGGGGGAAGGTCTGTTTAGGTTTGTTCTTATTTCTCATTATCCTACTCTGTTTAATTGACAATAAATTAATTTCCCCAAGTCATGTCTGTTTTGTCTGTGACAGTAATTGGTGAGTGATTTCCCTGTCCATATCATGACCCAGGAGATTTTCATCATATTTTCTCCCCTGTCCTGTCAAAGTGGGGGAGTTGATAGAGTGGCTTGGTGAGCACCTCGTGGCTAGGTCAACCCACCACAGTCCTCTAAATCCCTTCATTGCCTCCACACACCCCCAGTCACCCATGACCTCTCCATGTCCCCTGAGCACACTGTTAGTGAAGGGTCTACCAGCACCGCAACGTTTATTATTGTACTTTATTTCCCCTGCTCTCAAGGAATGCCAATGGCCATGACTTTCAGTGGCCTGGGTTGCCTACCTCGCCCCAATCCCCTCCTACCTTTGTCCAGCCCTGCTGCAGGGCTGGACAGGTTGCAATTGCCTGTGACAAGTCGATGGTGAGTCCATGACAGGTCCATGGTGCGTGTCTGGTGGGTCCGTGCTAGTCCCATGGCTCAGCTGCCAGTGCTTTCTCTGCGGGGATATCTTCACATTCTGCCCACATGGTCCTGCAGCCTCCCCAGCACGCCTTGCACCTCCTTCAGTACGTCCTCCTCATCCACACTGTCAAAGGCCTCACTGGGGATGATGGGGAAGGGGTGGTAGGTTGGGTACTGTGTGGCCTCTCCAGCCATGCCACAGCCATGCAACCACTTCACCTTCTCTGCCAGTCCTCTCAGCTTTGGCTCCACCGCCTCCAGCCATTGGGCCAACCCCACCAGCTCCACTGGAGCCTCAAAGGCCTCATCATGGCAAAGTATGGCAGCCACCAGTGCCTTCTCCAGGGCCTGGTGCACCTTGAAGAGGACCCAGTTGGGACAGCAGCACCTGATGTCATTGTGGGCTGCCTGCAGGTCACTCTTGGCCTGCCGCAGCCACCGCTGGGCCTCTGGGATGGATGGAGTCAGGGTTGTGGCCTCCTCATTGCACAACCAGGAGCCATGGCCTTCCTGTCCCTGGCAGTGGTGCTGGGTGGCTCTCTCAGGGTTGTGGTGGGGGTACAGGTCCCGCAACACCTTTGGCCTCTTGACAGCACACAGCTGCCCCAAGGTTGCCTGGCTGTGATCCACAATGCTGTTCACCTCTGGTATCAGGCTGAGCCAATCCTTCCATGGTTTGCCCTTTGCCACAGCCTCCTCCTGCAGCCTCTTCTTCAGCTCTGACTCCAGTTCCGGTGCCATGCCATGACCTCCTCTGGCTTAGGTGCAGCACCTACCAGTGGCACATCATTCTCCTCCAGAACAAAGACCACGTCCTGTGGCTCCTGGCAGACCAGCATTTCACGCAGCACTGACAAGGCAGGTGCCTCCAGCTGTCCCCCCAGCATGATATTGATCTCCTGCGCTAGCGTCTCCACAATCCTCGCTGAGCACCACCAGCCAGGCACACATGGATGACCCGTGACTGGGAGCTGCCCTCCACCTTTGCACCACAGTGGACCAGCACAGTGCAGATGTTCTCGCAGCACTGCACTTTCAGCTGCTCCCCTGCAAAGCCACCAACCCCATCCATTCTTGTCACAGACCTGTGACTCTGCCACCGGAGCAGGGCCTCCAGCCCCATCCTAAACCAGGATGATACCAGGAGGGTCTGCAGACGCCTCTGTCCAGGGCAGTGAGAACCATAGTGACATGGTTGCAGACTGCCCTCCTCCAGCTGCTGCTTTGTCACCTGTGAGAGTGCCTGCGGCCGCAGGTGCTGTGGTAGCCTTTGCAGCAGCCACCAGGCATTACACCCTGTCTCCGGCAGTTCAGCCATAAACACAAAGGTCTTCTCCAAGGCCCTAGAGGTACTTGAGGACACGCAGTCATTGAAGTACAGCCTGTGGGATGGCTCTAGGCGGTCAGCAGTGCTCAGCAAGTACAGCTTAGCCACAGTGGAGAGATCAGGGGTCTCCGGTGCATGCCGCAGCAGCTGGAAGAAGTACCGTGTGGCCAGCAGGACTGTCTTCTTCTGGATAGTACTGAGGGTCCCACTGACATGGCTCTCCTGGTGGATTTGGGCCAGGACATAGCTGTAGTGAGTCAGTGTGGGGTGCAGGACCACCCCAATGTGTTGCAGGAGGTCTCCATAGGCAGCTATGCTGGGGTCAAGTTTGAGGAGATAGGGGTAAAAGTCAGTGTCGTCCGGGAGTGATATCACCACTTGCCGTGGCATCGTCATTTTCCCTGACTTGGCCAGCACCACAGGCAGCTCAGCGAGGCGCCCTGCATCCACCTCCTTCAGATGGGCCTGCAAGAAGTTGTACACCTTCTGGAGCACTCTGGCTCGTGTGTTCACCTGCTGTTGCGTCTGGCAGGCTGCCCTGCACACCTGCTCCAGGTTTGCCACCACCAGGGCGGTGGGTATTTCTACAAGGACTCCTGCGGCCTTCAGGATGTTCTCCCTGAGTGCCAAGGACTTCGGCAGGATGGTGGCTGTTGTCCACACAAGCTCAGCCACATCTTCTTGGCAGTGATAAATGCTGCCCTTCAGGGCCACGGGCTTAGTGCAGGATGCAAAAGGGGGGTGGAGTTTCATCAAGTCTCGGGGGATGTTCAGTGGAGGCAGGAAGTGGATTGAGGCAATTTTCCTCAGGAAATCCTCTGACAAGGGAGGTGTGCCATCCAAGAGGGTGCGCAGCATCTCCTGCTGTCGCACCAGCAGATCTTCAGTGTGGCACCTAGCCTGACTGGCTTCATGCTCTATCTCCAGGGCCAATGCCACAAAATCCTCTACTGAGAGGCTGGTGCGGACACCTGTCTCAAGCAGGAAGTCCATAGCAGCTTTGTGCTTGTAACGTAGCTCCACAAAGAAAGACTCAGGCACAAAGCGGTGTTGGAGCTTCAGAGTACGGAAGGAGAGCGTGTCTTTGTAGAAGTAGGAGGCCAGGCGCAGAACACCATTGGCATCGCGTATAAAGGCCACAGTCTTAAAAGCTGACACCGCATGTTCTGTGAATTTATCGTCATGGGTGGTTTGCAGGGCAAAGAACAAGTGCAGAGCTTCTGTACGCTCTTGCGCTGTGAGCTGAGACAGCCGGGGCAGCACCACAGTCTTGAAGAGCTGCCGTTCATCTGTGAGCTCCCACTTCAAATCATTGGCCAGGTCCTGGTGGATCTTGTCTGCTGTGAGCAGCAACATGCCCTCCTCCAGGCTGTACAGGGCTTTTGCACCCTGGGGCAGTTCTGGGCAACAGCTTCTGAGCAACAGCACCTTCTGGTAGGATGCCACAGCTACATAGTCCCCACCATACTTCCGGAAGAGAGGCAGGAGCCGGAGCTGATCCGCTGCCAATGAATCCAGTTTTCCCTGCACAAAGTGCAGCAGGCAAGTCACGTCCTGCTCTTTTAAGTCCTTCCAGTGGAGAAGAGCTCTGGTGCCTGCCAGTTGGGCCAGCACAGCCCTGGGCTCTGTGGCCTGCAGTGACCTTGCCTTCAGACAGTGGTTGGCAAAGCGAAAAGGCAGCAGGGACTTCTGGAGCACAGGGATGCCCAGTTTGTGCAGCACCTTGGTCACATCCGTCTCACACTGGAAAAGAACTTTGGGGAGGAAGGATAGTGGCAGTTGGGACTTCGAGCCTGTCTTACCATCCTGAACAGGCAGCACTGCCATATGCTGGAGATGATCCACAAATGACTTCATGTTCTGCTCCAAATCCTCTTTGGTCTTTGCGTCTCTGCAGACCACAGTGCTGAAGAACTTCCAGAGGTCCGTGAGCCACTTCTCCCCCTCTGTGTCCCAGTTCAGCTGACCCAGTGCCTCCTCGATGAGTGGTTTGGCCTCCAGGAGGCTAAGCTTCTTCACAAAGGAAGGATGGTACAAATTAATTAACTTGTGGGCAAAGCGGTTGCAGTGGCGGGGGAAGAGGTGGGCAAAGGAGTTGTCGAAGACTGGGTGGTGGATGCTGAGGGCATTCAGGCAGCCATCTTGCGTGGCCAGCAAGGGCAGGCCTTCCAGTTCTTCCTTGGCTACATCTGCAGGCTGCAGGCACTGTTTCAGCAGGGCAGAGCTGCTCTTTGGGGTCTCCAGGGGTGTCTCAGCCAGCATGCAAGGCACGGGGAGTGCCAGGGCCTTGAGGAAGCACCGGAGAGAGGCTGGCTGAAAGGCTACAGCCTTCACCTGGGCTGCAATGAACTCGTCATAGATCTCCTGCAGGTTGTCGAATGCTGGCACCAGGTTCATATTCAGGCGCTGCAGCACCTCCTGGAGATCTGACTCAGGGTTCACCATGAGGAAGTATGGCTCTGTTAGCACATCCCCTCCACCTGGAGATGCCCAGGTCATTGTCACCGTGCTGCCAGGGGGCTTCATGTGGTACACGGGCACCAGGGGCAAGCGTGCATGACTGAGATGCCTATAGATATGCCTCACCATGTCCTGAAAGGTAGGTGTCACAGCACCCTTTGTCACAGCAGGGAAGAACTGGAGATAGTGAAAGGTCAGGTGTTTCTGGCAGTCCTTCAGGCACTTGAACTGGAGCCCTTCAGGCCCCAGGGCTTTCCACTGCTTGGTGAGAAAGGTACAGTATAGTGGAGCCACTAAGTGCCGGAGCAAGAAGCAATTCCAGGCTGCCTCTGGGCTGCCTCTGTCCTGGCGGAGATTGCGTCTGGCTGCATCCACAGAGAAGTTGGCATTGATGTGTACAGGCAGCCCTGTGATCAGTGGCAGTGGAAGGGTGCAGAAAGCTTTGCCCATGACTTTGCCTAAGCCCAATGGCTTCAGGCGGCCAGCTACAGCCCCATAAGGCAGCCGCCCACGCACCGGAGAATACTCAGCCCCCTCCTGAACCCCAATTTGGGAGATCACCCTCCACATGGTGCTGGCCCTGGCCTTGCTGTTTTTGATTGTCATGATATAGGAGACAGAGGTGGTGCTGTTCCCACCCGTGGCTTGGCTCAATCTCGCTTGAAAATCCTGTCTTAGCGCTGCATCACCATCTGTCAGCTCTGTGGCCACCCGCAGCTTCTCCAACAGCTGCTTCCCATCTGGAGGGATCTCAGAGAAGACCACAGTGCGGAGGTGCCGGAGGAAGAGCACCAAGTCCTCACCGCTCTCGGCCAGTACTGTCTCTATGTCCCTGATGTCTTGGTCCCGCACGACCATGACAGACACCCTGGAGATGGCAGCCCCAGTTGCAGTGCGGAGGGGCAGCCGGAAAAGGACACCCTGGTTCAGCTTGAAAAGGGAGGGTAGGAAGGTGCCATAAATGTCTGGAAAGTTCTTCTTGAATTCAGGGTTGACAGCAAACATCCCACCAGGCCTCTCAGTTGTGGCTGTGGGCACGTAGTATTGATGGGGATCAAAGACACACAGGGCACTGTCTCCAGTAAGGAAGGCCGGGCAGTCAGTAAAGTGGAAGACAGTGCTGAAGCCAAGGCCATATTTGCCTGTGACATCCTGCCGGCCTTGCTTGCCACCAACCCCCAGACACTGAATGCCTTCAATGTCCTGCTGCTGGAAGGGGCTGTCGCTGTAGATGCAGAGGGCAGGGCCCTGCAGGACGTTCCAATTCTCGCTGAAAGTGGTACACACTGGGTGCTGCCGTCGGTCCCACACAAAGTGCACAAGCCGTGCACCAGCGTCATCTGCATTCTGGAGCAACTCTGTCACCATATCACGAGCAGATGCTGGGTACTCAGCCAAGATGTTCTTCAGACGTGTAGGCAGGTCTTCATGGGCACCAAATGGCTGTGCCCAGAAGCTGAAATCTGCAGTGGGGAGTTGGATCCTCTCCACTGCCCGGTGACGTGTGGTAGGCACCCCACAGCGCAGGGCTGTCACTCGGGACAGCTTTTCATGGCACAGCAGGACATCTCTGTCCATTGGCATCCATGCTGTATCATTGAAGTGGAGCTTGTCCCGTGGACGCAAAATGCCCTCCTGGTCAGGTAGAAAGAGTTGCTGGGTCTGGTAGGCATTTGGCTCTTTGTCATCTGCCATCAAGCCACAAGACACCAGCCGCAAGGCCAGAGCCAGCTCTGCAGCAGGCAGCGGCACTCCGGCATGCATCTTTGCCAGGCTGCAGAGCACTTGGGCATAATCATCCCAGCTGAATGTGTGGCGCAGCCCCACACACTCCCAGAGTTGTCTGTAGGGCCGGTACTGCTCTGGGAGCTGGTGAAGATATGGGCCAGCCTCAAATGACAACGTCTCAGCCACAGCCATAACTGGCATAAAGCGGGAGCCCACCAAGATGAAGGGTTCCCCTTGGGCCACTGCAGCAGCCACCTCATCCCTGATGGAGGGATCGCTCTGGAGCAGCTTGTTCAGATGTATGTAGCAGCACTGGGTGCTGTCCTGCAGGTTCTCCAAAGGGAGAGCATTGGAGCTACAGCTCAGTCCCTGCAGCTGCTTAAGGACTGTAGATGCTGGTATCTGCCGGTCCAGCCCCAAGAAGGATGCAACCTCCTTGGGGAGGCTGAAGTTTTTTCCCAGCATTTTGGGAGCCAAGATAGGGTGGATGAGTCCCACTAGGGGGGCTTTAAGGTGATGGTAGAGCTGGGCAGCTGGCAACAGCACTTGTTCACCTGTGGGCAACATACCAGGGAGGAAGGGCACGGTCTGGAAAGCTGCCTGCATGGTGTTGCTCACCCTCTTCTCCACTGCATCCTGAAGCAGCTCAAGGATGCAGGCAGCCCTCTGGCAGCCCTGGACACGGTCCTTGGTCCAGAGAACTTGCACTGTCTTTGCCCGCTCTAGCAGCTCTGGCAGGGCCATTGTGTCCTTAACCATGCCCAGCCTCTCTAGTTGGCTTAGTCTTTCTGGGGAAAGGAAGGAATCCCCGGTGGGGAAGCGTCCATCCTTAGGGTCATATAAAGAGGCAGTGCGGCCTCTGGGATGCACCAGGCAATTGATGAGTTGCAGGTGGCCATGAGGGGTGGCAGGAATGCAGGGCACTGTCTGCAACAATTTGTTCACATCATCACAGGACATATCCAACGCATGGAGAAGCAGCGCATCCCGGTCAACAACAGAGAGGTCTTCCAAGTTGGGAAGCACAAGCTCGCAGTAAAAGCGGGGCCAGTCATAGGTGCCAGCATCCGCTGCCTTCCCGAGACCCCTCCGCACCTGCTCTGGCAAGGACACAGCTAACAGGGGATAGGGCAGGATGGTGGCAAAGGCACGCTTCGCCACGGCACCCAGTGTGGGGTGTCTGATCACAGCCTGGTGCAGGAAGCGGGCATCCCGCAGTGAGCACCATGAGCAGCCATCAGAAAAGAGCCTGGGGCCATTCCTGGCTGCCACAGCCTGGTAGAAACCAGTCACAGCCTCCGTAAAGGGGTAACGGGCAGTGTTAATGTCCGGCCAGAAGACATGATACTCATAGCTCTCCAACTCACCCGCCTCATGCATGGTGCGGAGGTGGTCCAGCGCCCGGAGCCAGGCAACCGGCACAGCATTGCGGAGCAGCATCCGGTTCCACTCACCCCGCTCCGCTGTGTCCCACAGCCCCTTGCGGTTTGAGAGGATGCTGAAGGCCCCATGCACATGGATTGGCAGCCCTGAGGCAATAGGCATGGGAAGGTGGCAGAAGACTTGTCCCTCCTCGGCATCCAGATGCGGCACCCACTTGCCATCTGCAGTAAGGGCAAGGGGGAGGGCCACACCAGCCACAGGAGGCAGAGGATGGAGCCCTGCCTGTGTGTGCCGGTGAAACAGTTCCAGCAACTCCCCATCATCCTGACACACCAAAACTAGGTAGTGCCATGCGGTCTTGGATCTCTCCTCGCAGGCTGTGAGCTGCTCGATGGCTGCCCAGCTCAGGGGGTCCCCTGGTGCCCCCAAGTCTCGGATTTCCTTTCGCCGCAGCATGGCCAGAGGCATGGTATCCTCCGCAGAGGTGGCCGTGTCTGGCAGCATCTCCAGGGACATCTCCCTCACCCTCCGCAGGAAGAGCAGCAGGAGCCGGTTAGAGCCAAGGAAGTTGGTGCCAAGGGACTGGATGCGCTCTGTACCAAAGGCCTCTGAGCAAATCTGTGATGTCACAGCTTCCTCTTCAGTGCGGAAAGGCAGGCGGAAAAGGCTCCCTGGAAAGGGTGCTGGCTCAGGCAGGCGGCACCCAAAGATACCATGGTAAGGCCAGAACTGCTCAGCAAAGGCACGGAGTATGCGTGGACGGTGGGAGAAGTCCAGGCGGATGCCAGGGCTGCCAGCCCTGGATATGTGCTTGCTCAAGTGGGTGCCATTGGGATCAAAGATGAGCAGCGTCTCCCCACTCAGCACTGCTGGCACATCTGTGACACGGTAGACAGAGCTGAAGCCCAGCCCAAAGCGCCCAATCCGGCCTGCCTGGCCCTCCTTTGTAGCAGCCCCAACCCGTGTGATGTTACGGAGGTCATCCTCCGTGAACAAAGCATTGTTGTAGGCCCAGAGGGCTGGGCCATGGCAGGCAGCCATGCCGGGGTCTAGCAGCCCAGAAGTAGCCTTTCTACAGCATCGGAGGTCCAGGAGGAAGCGGCACACAGTAGCTCCAGCATCCTCTGCGTTCTGGACAATCTCTGTGAAGAGGTCGCCCTCCTCGCCGTACTCCCGGAGGATGTTGCGAAGCCGTAAGGTGATGGGCTCTGAGGGGCCACAGGGTGTGAATGGTTCCAGCCCCAGCACGCGTGTACTGAGCAGTTCCGTGCCGAAGAATATGGCTGTGCTGGATGGCACTGCCTCGTGCACCACCTCCTGAACATTCTCCTCTGCCTCCGGCTCCATGTCCAGGTACACAGTAGAGGCAGCTGGGCGGAGGGCAAATCCCGAGCCCTCCGGGATCCTCACAGGAACTGGCACTGTGCCCTCGCCCTGGTGTCCCCGGCTCTTAAGCCATTTCAGGACAGCTACAGCCACCTGTAACTCTGCTGCAGAGCCAGCTCTGGAGCTGCGTGCATCTATGTCCTGCCCCAGGCTGCGCAGGGCTGCAACCGCCCTCTCCTCACTCACCCTCGCCTCCACTCCCCAGGCCCTGAAGAGGCAGCTGTAGGACAGAAAGTCAGGGGGCACCTGGGGCACCAGCATCCCCAGCTCCAGCTCCTCAGGATAGCCCAGCACAGCATCACATGGCAGGACAAACCCAGTCCCGGTCCACACCACAGCATCATCTGGGGCAGCCCCAAAGGTCTTCAAGTTTTCCTGCATGTGCCAGTAGATGGGTCGGAGTGCAGGACCTACCTCAGCCACGTCCCTGCGCCCTGCCAGCTCTCTCAGCTGCTCCCACACCCTTTCTGGCGGTGGAGTCTGGCTCAGTCCCAGTTTCTTCTCTGCCTCTGGCACAAAGGCATCAGTGAGGTGCATGGCAAGCCCCACCAGGGGCTGGTACTGGGTGGACCGTAGCTCCTTGGGGGGCAGGAAGGGTTGCCCAGGCTTTCCAGTGCACTTGGAACGAGGGACCCATGGTAGGGCCTGGAGTTGCCTGAGCTCTGCAGCGCTGAAGCCAGCCAGTGCCTTGGGGCAGTTGCAGACTTCGATCAGTGCCTGAGCCCTGCCCAGAGCCGCTGTGTCACCCTGACTCACGCTTGCTGCAGCCTCTAGGATGTCTGAAGGCAACAGGCACCCCTCACCGTGCCGCAAGCCCAGGGCTCTCAAGGCATGGAGGACAGGCGGACTGTGAAAGGCGGCAGGAGGAAAGCGCTCAGGGCCCAGCAGTGCCTGCAAGGTGCTCTCGCAGGGGTCGTAGAGGTCCCGTGGGCACCTGGGGCCATTGGGGGTATCCAGGAAGGCCAGCCTGCTGCAAGCCTGCTGGAGCAGAGGGCTCTGTGCAAAAAAGATGTCTCCGTTCTGCAGCACCCAGAGCAGCAGAGCCTGTGTCTCCGCCGTCCGCCCTGCATAGGCACCGCAGGCCACGGCTCTGACGGCCTCCAGCGCCATGTGGGCTGCACTGATGAGGGACCTCTGGAGCCTCTCCAGGAGCCGCCGGTCAGCTTCATCCCGGCACAGCAACATGGCCTTCGGCAGCACCACATCTCTGGGCATTTCCAGCTGTGGCTCCAGTGCTGGGGTGTCACCGCCAGCTCTGTGGGCTGTGGGGTGGCCAAGCAGGGCAGTGGGATGAAGAGGGGCAGAGCAGCCAGTGTGGCCCTGTCCTGCTCTGTCAGGGATGGGATGTCTGCCAGGTAGAGCCGGAGGGTGACCATATCCTCAGCAGGCAGTGTGGCCAGGCGGGAGGACACAACTGCTGCCTCCTGCCTGCCCAGGGCCCGCAAGGCATTGAGGGGGGATGGAGGCAGGACATAGTGGGACAGACAGCGGTGCCACGTGCCTGGCGGCACCACTGGGCAACCCAGGACCTCCAGGACAGAGGCCACTGCAGGTGGCAGGCACTGGTCCTCCCATGCCTGGAAGATAAGACTGGACTGAGGTTTCAGTGGAGCCAGACGGATGCTGGGGGCATCCAGTGGTGACAGAGGGATGAGCGGAAGCCCTTCCAGAGGGCCCAGGTCTTCAACGTGGTGGGCCAGGAATTGCCACAGGGCTGGGAACCAGGAGGCTGGGGGCTGGGAGGGACCTTCGGCCGGGTACCAGGTCAATGGGGTTGAAGACTGGGACGTCCAGGTCACGGGCAGAGCCAAGCGTAGGGTCTGGGCAGTCACGGCTGGGTCCAGCAGAATCAGGTTGGGGAAGAGACCTGTGTGTGGGAGGCAGAGGCTGAACGAGGAGTACATGGGACCTGGGACCTGGCAGGGGGACCCAGGATGTGGGGGAAAGAACCTGAGATCTGCAGGGGATGGGAGCCCCCCCCATTCTGGGGATGGAAGGACCTGGGCTCTGGAGGGACAGTGGATACCCAAAATAGGAGGAACAGGGGAACCCCAGATTGGTGGGGATAGAGAAGATCTGAGAGGGAAAGAAGTGTTAGGGGGACCAGTACTGGGGGGCACAGTGGTCCTCAGATGGGGAACACAGGGAGACACAGGATTTGAGGGAGCACAGAGGAGAGGGGGGAACGTGGGAAGAACAGCAAGGACGGGAGTCCCCAGAGACACAGGGAGATGCAGGATAGGAGAGGTGGCCCTGGGCTCAGACAATGTACCCCAGACTGGAGAGAGACAGTGAGACTTGGAATCCACAGTGGTGTTGACTGGATGGGGGGAGCCCAGCGAGGGGAGTCAGACAGGGACCAGGGACGCCAGGTGTGTACAGGGAGTATCAGCGTGGTACAAGGGACATTGGGGCTGCAGAGGAGCTCAAGGGTGTACAAGAGTGCCTCGGGCTGTTGGGCTTTAGAGGGAGATCGGGGGACCCAAAGATGGCCCTGTGACCTCCCATCTCTTACCCGCCTTGGCAATGCCTCGCAGGAGGCTGTCCAAGCCTGGCTCCAGGTCTGAGGGCAGGAAGGACCCGGCCAGGCCGGGCAGGAGCTCCCTGTGGGAACAAATGGAGGTGCTGGGGGACTAGAGGGGTAATGGGGGCAGGCAGCTTCCTGGACATCTCACTTGGTGAGACCAGGAAAGAGGAGGAGGACGGTGAGGTGCCCAACCAGGTTTGACCCTGGCCCTCCTTTCAGCTCAAGAGCAGGAGCTGTGCCCCGGGCAACCGGCTCACCTGCCCACTCCCACAGGGAATGGGGCTGCCTGGGGCCACAGACTCACCTGGGACAGTCGGACGTGTCCACGTAGACAATAGCTGATGCAGTCCCAAAGGCCACGAAGGTCCCATCGGCACGAGGCAGGAGGGGGAGACCCCGCAGCTCAGCATGGCACCCATCCGCGGCCACGTAGCGCAGCAGGGAGAGCCGATCGGCAGCTGGGAGGTCTGCAGCCCCATGGCGCCGCAGCACCTCCCGCACGTGGCTGGCCGTGGCCTCCTGCATG